GGGTTTAGGGTTTCGGGGCTTCGGGGTTTAGGGTTTAGGGGTTTAGGGTTTAGGGGTCTAGGGGTCTAATTAGGGTTTAGGGTTTAGAGGGCTTGGGGTTTGGAGTTTAGGGCCTAGGGCTGAGGGTGCAGGGTGAGGGTGAGGTTCCTTCACGGACGTTGCCGGGAAGACCCCACGAACTTTTCCCCCACCTCTCAAACCCTAAACTCTAAACCCTAAACCCTAAACCCAAACCCCTAAACCCTAAACTCTAAACTCTAAACCCTAAACTCGAAACCCTAAACCCCCACCTCAATGTTCTCCAGGCCCTCCAGGAGTCGGCTGAGCCTTGGGCGATCCTTTGCCGCGACGAGAGCTTTGACCTTCGGTGCGGTGTACCCCAGGGTTTAGGGTTTAGGGTTTAGAGTTTAGGGTTTAGGGTTTAGGGAGCCCAAAAAAAGTCGATCCTAAGGAAGGGTATGACAGGGTTATGTGTACCGAGAAAGGGGTTAAAAGTGCCCAGGTGGCCGCTTCATACTTGGCGATCGTCTTGGCGATCTTTACGAGGTCCTTCTCAACGTAGGGCGCAAGGTCACCACCCCAGATGGCCTTGGATGCCTTGAGCACCATCCATGTAGCAGCATGCTGTTCGGACTCGTCTGGCATTCGAAAGCTTGCCATCGTCCGCGCGACAGCAAACTGGGCGTGAGAGACTCTTATGAGTGATTTCCAGGGTCTGCCGATGTCTGCCACGAGGCTGGGAAAAGTTTAGTTCGTTTGTGGACGTTCACGAGGACTTGTGGTCTGCTGGAGCATTGGAATTTCTCTTGCCGCTTTAGCTGCTACCCAGTGTCTGACAGCAACAACACATGCGACGGAAAAGCAACCAGGACCGCTGGCACCACCATCAAGCCGTGAGCAGGCCTTGTAACAACGTCATCGTCAACAACCTCACGGTCACCAATATCTTCCCAATAATCATGCTCTTCTTCATGAGCAGCAGCAGCGTCATCACTGTGAGCATTTGCCGTGGCAGCTTCATCATCAGCATCATCATCTTCTTCTTTTTCGCGATCACCGAAATAACCCTGATCCCAACTCCGCCAAACACCGCTTTCAGCACATCCACCAACAACACAACCATCACCAACATCAGCATCATCATCACCACCACCACTACCACCGCCAACGGGAGAATCACCATCGATATCATCATCATCATCATCATCATCATCGTCATCATCATCATCATCGTCATCATCATCATCGTCATCATCATCATCATAATCGCCATCATCGTCATCATTATCCTCATCATCCAATTTTGTTCGTCTTTGTCATATTTTAATATGCTCCGCCGCCACCAATAACAACGACGACAACACAGACAGCGGGCTAAGAATATGGATTTCAAGCCGTCGCATTTAGAGTTCAGCCCTTCAAGGACATTGTCAGCACGGGCATGGTCACCCTCCCCTTTCCCCCGCGCCGCTGACATCATCACCACAACAAACACCACAACCAGAACGGCAGCCGCCGCCTCCACAACGACCACCAGCACGATCACAGACGCAAGCATCATCGACAATAGCACCAGCTTGTCTTCCTCGTCGTCGTCATCATCATCACCACCACCAAAATCACCCGACCAATCAGAGACTGCGACCATCACAAGAAGCACCATCAGCAACGCCATCAGCATCTGCCCAATCATCATCGCCATCATCGTCATCATCACCGTCACAGTGAACATCATCGCCATCACCGTCACCATCACCATCATCATCATCATCATCAGCAGCAGCAGCAGCAGCGCCACCATCATCGCCGTCATCGTCGTGATCGTCATCCTCGCAATTCCAAAGTCATATTAAGCAATCAGCGCCATCATTTTCCCAATCAGCACCATCATCGTCGGTAAATGTTCATGAGCCTATGAATAAGATGTTGCAGTAGAGTATATCATACTACCGTATCTTATCGCAGTATTTTCTAGCATCTTGTAGACGAATAGCTTGCATCATCGAGACATACGACGGTAATGATATTATCATATACTTCGATGATATCATAATTCTCTATTTTTGCTGAGCCGCCTGAAATCCGAAAACCAAAACAACTCGGCGCCCCCTGGAGCACCTTGGGGCTCGGGGCCGGTGGTCGACGAGCCTGGAAAAGGCCATGCGGAGAGTAGGGTCTAGGATCTAGGGTTCAGGATCTAGGATCTAGGGTCTAGGATCTGGAGTTTGGGGTCCTAGGATCCAGGGTTTAGGGTTTCGGGTCTAGGATCTAGGATCTAGGGTTTCGGGTCTAGGATCAAGGATCTAGGGTTTAGGGTTCAGAGTTTCGATTGCTCAAAGGGTTTAGGGTTTAGGGTCTAGGGTTTAGGGTCTAGGGTTCTCACAGAGACTGCCAGGGATGCAAATCGTACAGACCACGGTACAGGCCCCCTACAACCCCAGAACACACCCAAACCCACCCCAAGGCCTGCCCGGGGTTCACCGGCCTCGCTTGCTGCACTGGCAGCCTCCCGGAGCCGATTTTCACGACACTGGGCTTCGGGCTCAGCGGGTTTAGGGTTTAAGGGTTTGGGACTGCGGGCTTGGGATTTCGTTTGGGGCTGCGTACCCTTGTCTTCTTGAAGGCCAATTTCTTCCTGCTTTGTAGGAATGGCACTGCGGTGGAGCCACTCATAGACACAGTAGGAGGAATCGACGGGTTCAGGGTTTGGGACTCTGGTTTAGGATAGTCAGAACAAGGAACCTCTAGCTGCCCTAGCTCTGTTTGTCGAGGCTTTGTAACGGATTTTTATAGGATTCAGCGTCGCACCAGGGGTATGTTTATTCCCGTGAACAGAGAGGTTGAGATCTTTCGCACATTCCGACAAGCACATCATTAAACGAAAAAATGGCAGTCGAATCTTGGTGGTACATAGACAGTGTGACCGGAAAATAGGCAGAGTCGCGTGACTGACTGTGCCTCTGTTAGCTGTCACCCGAACGACGAAACGAAACTGAAAGAGCGCTGCTCCTATGCCACATTCCTAAGTAGTTCCTTTTTGTGGCTCATATTTAGAATCCTACCAAGGGAATTCCCCAAAAGGAACTACTCAGGAGCCTATGCCACCTATCTGCATGGAGGATGGCAGACCCTGGGGCGCTGCAAACCCGGAAACCTAAACCTGGCCAGGGTGGAATGCCCGGAAAACACTGTTTGATGATATAAATCCTGCATGACCTTAAGGACCCTAAACCTATGGGAATTATGGAAAATTCCTCATTATCATTATTATGATTATTATTCTTACTGTTAGTAGTATTATTGTTGATATTAGTATATTTCCTTCTTATGGGTACTGCAGCACTTTTTTTATCATCAACCGTATCTCTGAAACCCAAGCCTGGGGGCTTCCCTCGGCCAGCGCCAGCGCCTCGGGCTTCTCTGCCTGAAAGTGGGAGCGATGCCATATGGGGCCGTTTCGAAGCGGGGGTTTTAGGGTTTTTGGCTTTGAGGGCTTGGGGTTTGGGCTTTGAGAGGTTTAGGGTTTGGGCTTTGAGAGTTTAGGGTTTGGGCTTTGAGGGTTTAGGGTTTGGTCTGGTTTTTCAGGTTTAGGGTCTGGTTTGTGGGGTTTAGGGTTTTTGGTTTGGAGGGTTTAGGGTTCAGGTTCAGGGAGGATGCAGGGTTGAGGGTAGCGCGGCTCCTCCGAGCTTATCAGATCCCGGTGACCGCAAAAAGAGCGTAAGCCCGATGCGGGTAGTTCTCTAAATTAGGGCCCTTAAAGGGATCTATTCGGGTTTCTATAGGCTTTCTATGAGGGTCCTACAAGGGCTCCACATGGGTTAGTTCTCTACATTAGGGTCCCTTTCGGGGGTCCTTTGTAAAGGGTGCCGTACTAATTATATTTGGGACTTACAAAGGGACCCTAACTTAGAGAACTACCCATGTGTAAGATCCGAAAAGGTACCAAGGACTGGGATATACTGGGCTCCTGTCTTACGTCCTGTCTGGGTCGGTGTGCCTGGATGGCTCTTCAAGCAGAACCATGCGTGTACGTCTGACGATACGTCGTCGTCTAAAACCACGAAACATGATGACGGCTGCTGCTACCACTGTTTTGGGGCATTACAGAATTAGAATAGGGTTTCGGGATGTATTGTCGTAGAACAATCTCGCTACACTATCCGCCTAAACCTTTTTCAAAAAGTTAAAACCCTAAAGCCGAAACCCCTTGGGCCCCTCGATTTCTTTACCGGGCTCAGCAGGTTCCGGAGGTTGAAGCGGCCTCGACAGCGTCCTTGTTCAAACCTAGAGCTCGGAAGAATGAGCTGCCCTTTCTTCAAGCCCTGGTCGCATGTATATCCATGTGTATGTATGTATATATATATATACATATATATATATATATATCTGCATGCCTGCAAGCGATACATGCATACACACATGCATTCTGCCGTTCTCCTGCTTTCTTTACTCCACCCTAAACCCTAGAGCTGGAAAGCTGCAAACCATATGGAACATCCCTCTTCGGCTGCAGTCCAAGGCCTTGTCCTCTGCCTCGGACTCTCTTCGGTGATCCATATAACAAAAGGGTAGAGGTAGGGTTTCGGGTTTTTTTGTTCTAACAGCATCCAGGGGAAGAAGCCCCAAGGTTCTTCTGCACCGGCTTTGGCATACTGAGACCCTAAACCCTAAGCCCTAAACCCGGGTTTGGGGCTCTAGGGCTAAGCAGTTCAGCTCTGGCCCGGGGTTTTTGTGGGCGGCTGCGGCTTCGGAGTTGCGGGTGTTTGGGAGTTTCTGGGATGACTTTTTGGGGGCTCTGGTGTTCGAGCCTTCGGGCTGAAGGGCTCTTCAAAAAAGGAGCCCCAGGGTTCTCTAAGCCGCAAGGGCCGAGGAGCTAAGGGCGAAAGGTCCAGAGGTCAGGGCTCCAGGTCTCTAGCTTTAGGGCTTTAGGGCTGATTGGGTCTTGAAGGCCGTAAGCCTGGGTAGCTTTGGCTTTGATGGGTTCAGGGCTTCAGGCTTGACTTCTTCCAGCCGTTTCAGGGTCAGGAGAGTCTGGAGGGGATGGACTTGTCTAGGGTTTAGGGTTTAGGGTGAACCCTAACCCCTAAACCCTAACATGTTTTGGGTTCAGGGTTTAGGGTCCCGGGTGTCGGGAGACAAGACGAGGAATGTGGCACTGCTGTCTCTAGGTGTTAGGGCCTAGGGCCTAGGGGTTTGTGCTTTCTGGCTTAGAGCTTGGAGGCACAGTTCTTGCATTTTGGGTTTGGTGCTTAGGCGTTCAGGGACCTGGGGTTAGGATACAAGTCTGGGCTTTTCCCGCGGCTCTTTGGGCGGCTGTGGTGGTTCAGACATGTCGGCTGTAGAGCTCCGGGTTTAGCATTTA